AAATTGCTTATGTCATTTCAAAACTCATTTCGAGAACTACATTATGGGTATATCAAATAGTCCAAACAAATATCGAAAATAGTTAAAAATACGTTAAACGTGAGTCTTAAAAAAAGACGTCTAACTCGTATTTTTTTAAAATTCAATTATTTCATTAACATTTATTATTTTTGCGATACAAATTTCTCAATATAATTTTCATCATTTTATTAGAAAATTTTATAGAAAAATGACATCAAAAATTTTCAAAATTTTACATCCAAAAAAGGCATCTCCCATGTAAATTTTCGGATGTAAAATTACACGAGGTATAATTTTTTTGGACGTAAATTTTCGATTATAAAATTTCTCCCAATTTTTTTTACAAGTTCGATTGTGCCTTCCTAACTTTTAAGTTCTGCATCCGCCAATGACTCAATTGGTTACTTATTATTCTTTACATTCTATCATGGGATCGCCATTAGTTACAATACTATAGTTCATTTATCATCAAATTGAAAGTCAATGTCCTTGCCAGATTTACCTTGAACAATATTAGTTATGGTTCATGGGAAGAGTTTTGACTTGCAATTTGTGACTAGTTACGATGGGCCGTATAATGAAGTTTATGTTTCTGTGCATACAGATAACTGAATTTTGCAGATTGGAAAAATCTATGTAGGAAAATTTAGTGGGCTGAGTTCAGAATTCAGAATTTTTTTGATATAATTCAAGTTCAGAAGTGTATAATCAAAAGGAACAATATGTTATATGGAAATTATGAGGTTTTGTGCGTGCTGTGGAAAATTTCAGTCTAGACTCCTAATCTTTTGCAATCTGGTTTCGAATGAACTAGTATAATAATTTATTTATTTTTTCTTTCAAAATTTGACAACTTCGGTTCCCTCTTAGAGTCTCAAGATATGATGAGAAACCAGAAAGTCCTTTCTATCTACTATTAATATCAGCACTTTTTCTTAAGTTAAAATTTGCTGCCATGTACAGGATGAGGTGAAAAAATATTTAGCAGCTGACACTTTAGCCCAACCTACTAGAATGTAGGTTCTATCTCTTTCAAATACTATTGATACTCATTGGAGCCCAAATCCAAATTCCAAACTTGAGCAATATAAAGTGGTTTATACTCTTCTAACTTTCCTACGTGAGATTGACATTTCCAATTTCCCACCAATTTTTTATTCCAATTTATTTCAATTTCAAATGGTCATCTTTTTACCTTAATTTCTCATTCACCCTAAATTGGTT